GTGTTATAAAAATGAATGTATTTACGCGTATTGGTCGGAGATTAGTGGATGCTGTAGTTAGTAAGGGCTGACATAGTTTTTTGTGTCCAGCATGCTAATTTTTATGATTATTTTTCCTTTCGAATCGTTTGAATAGATCCGCGGGGATTTAGGTTCTCAATAATGTTATTTGGGATTTTGGGTTAGTCTTCGAGTCCTATTATATGCGGTATATTCATTATGTGGAAACATATAAGGGTTATTTTCTTATCATTGTTAAGTTTATCGAATTTGAATTTATTAGAGGCTCTGCATGGGCATATTTCACTTTATTATCAAGCATTCAACCGACCTGCTTTTTGGTGTGAGTTGGTATATTCTCTTTTTTTTTTTTTAAAAAAAAGAGGGGGGTTACACTTGTTGATTCGGTGGCAGAATATTGTTCTTTAGAGATGTATTTTGTCTAAGATGAAATCAAGTGTTCCTTCCATCTGGTCTTTTACTTCAAGTAGATTTTGTGCTAAAATTCCTTTTCTTCTTTTTTGCACGTGAAAATTCCTTGCGAGTCCACTTTGGGACTCCATTCTCCTCCTCGCATTTCGGGAGAGTCATGAAGGTTCGGAAACTTTATCGAGTCAGTCCATCAAGACAGGTGCACAAGTTTGAAATTCCGCGAGATTGATGAAAGATCCAAAATATGGATTAGAAGATTTCCTCATTTTTATTAGTTTTGTATTTTTATTTTATTTGTAATGGGCATAAGCCCTCGTTTTATTTTTGGTATTTTGTTGTGTATATTAGATTAGGACAGGTGAATGGGTTAAAAAATCCAAAAACAGGTGAGTCCAAAACTCGGTCAAGGCGAACAGAACCCGAGTTTGGACCCAAAAATCTCCCTCTCTCTTTATCTCGTTTTACTACTTGTTTTGTTTTGAATGACGTTAGTTTAGGATTAGAAAACTCCAAACCCCATCGACGCCTTTTATTTTATCAAACTAAAAAATTAAAATTGAATCTCAAAACAATGAATATTTCAAACTTGTAAAATTTGCCTAGATAAAGTTTAAGATGTTCGATAAACAAAAGATTCGCAAATTGCAAGATAAACAATGAAATATTCTAGAAAACTTGAAAATTCGCACAAGTAAGTTTCTAATAAAGTTCTATAAATAGAAGATTCACAAAAGTTAAAATAAATAGTCAAAAAGTTACTCGCCGGAAAATCGTAAGTTAGTGGAGCGTCTTAGGTGCTTTTTTCGAAACCTTTCTAAGACGCTAATATGAATTTCGAACCCCCTAAAATGTTTTCAAAACGATTTTTTCCTGTTTAAGTTGTTTTGGAAATGATTTTTCTCAAAAATTAAGTGGCGACTCCTAAAAAGTCGAAAACATCTTTGAAAATCAACGAACTCTTTTCGAAATATTATTTTTCGATAAAACAAACATACACTAATGAATATAGCTAACAAAAATTGTCAACAAAAAAGTTGACCCTGCTACAATGCCAAAACCTTGATTGAGAAAATTGTTAGGAGAATCACCTCATGGACTGTAAAGAGATTACCTTATATGGGAATAGTACAATTGGTTCAAAGTGTTATATGTGGTATCCAAGCCTACTGGGCTCAATTATTTTTACTACCTACTAAGGTGGTTCGAACGATTGAAGTATTTTGTAGATGTTATGTATGGTATGGATCTAATGCAATCACTAAGAGAGCATTAGTAGCATGAGATAAAGTTAGTTGTCCTAAATTAATTGAGGGACTTAACTTGCCTAACTTACATTTATGGAATCAAGCTCCTATAGCCAAACTTCACTAGGATCTAGCTAACAAACAGGACAAATTATGGATCAGATAGATAAATGCATATTATATCAAAAAACAGAACTCGGCTACTATTATAATTCATAGCAGTGCGTGTTGGATGGTGAGGAAAATTATTGGGGCTCGAACAATCTTAGAGAAATTGCATATCGTCATTCAACCTGACCGAAGTTTGACTAGAAGTATATACCTATAACTGTTGGGGAAACTACCACGAGTTAGATGGAAGGGACTTATATTCCAAAACCAGGCTCAGCCAAAAGCTACATTCCCTTTGTGGTTATGCCTTCATGGAAAGATGCCAACGGCTGAAAGTTGAATAAATGGGGACTGAATGTTGATCCTACTTGTGTGCTATGCAGGTCCTGTTTTGAAGATAGAGATCACTTATTTTCTGAGTGTTCTTATGGAAACCAACTGTGGAAATTGTTAAATTGGATTGGTCAGACTTCTATAACTCCGCAATTATGGACTCAACATCTAGAATGGAGTCTCAATCGTGGAATGAAAAGGGAAAGTCTTCCAAGCTAGAATATTCAGAATGTAAGTGCGGAGATAGTTCATGCGATATGGAATGAAAGAAACACGAGAAGTTTTTAGAAGAGAAGTCATCGTTGTGATAATTATAAAAGGAAGAACGCTATGGGTTCTTCAATTAGTCCTTCAAAATGTGAAGGTAGTTTTTATTAACAAAAAAGGTATGAAAGGTCATTAGACTTGTGAATGTTGTCAACTTAATAATATGACAAGTTTTATAAATCATCCATCAAAATAAAAGAATATAAAGTGGTGGTACACTTTATCTTTTAAAGTGATGTTGAGGTGGATCATGTAAATATGTCAAATATAAAGATATGACATGTATAAATGGTTATCGTCAACTCATGAAGAGATTGTGACTTGTAATAAGCATGTGAATGTTTGTCTATTCTTGAAAGTGAATATGAAAAAATATGAGTGAAAAATATGAATAAAAATATATTCATGTATGGTTGGATATATGTCACAACTCACCTCTATGGGAGGTTTGAGAAAAAAAATGATATATACCAAAACTCACCTCTACGGGAGGTTTGAGAGGAAATAAATTTTATTTGGCAGAAATGGTTAATGGTATTGTACGTTTATACGTCACTATGGTATGTTTATTGTGAACTACCGAAAGGGCAAAAGAAAGAAATAGTCAAGAAAGAAAAGGGTACAAAAGAATGACCCTAATTATCCTTGTATTTTTAAAAGGTTTTGGTAAGACAAAATTTTATCTTGACCTACAAAATTGATAATTTGACGAATGAAATATTTGTCTATAGTGCAAATACACTGATATGTTTTGATGCGTTTTTATATGGACAAATCACATTCATTGAGTACCCTAATGATTATGAGACCGCTTGACATAAATGATGATTCAGTTTGATCTCAAAAGAAGGATAAAAAGCTTCTTGGTGATGAAACTCCATATCTTGGTGCAATCAGGGCATTAATGCTTGCTAACAATATTTGACCATATATTTGTTTTGCAATAAATTTACTCGCAAGAGTCGGTTCCTCCCCAACAAAAGGACATTGAAATGGTGTTACGTATATACTTGAATATCTTTGAAGGACCATAGACATGGGTTTAGTTTATTCCGAAGAATTCAAGTTAAGAGCTTATTGATTACACAGATGCAGAATATTTATCTGATCCCCATAAAGCACGATCTCTAACACGTTATTTGTTTGCATATGGAGGTACAATAATATTCTAGCGATCAATAAAGCAAATGTTGCTATGCAGAAATAAAAGTCCTCCATGAAGCAAGTCGAGAGTGCGTCTGGTTGAGATAAATTACACACCATATTCAGAAATGTGTGATTTTTCTTTGAAAAAGAATAAATCAATCACAATGTACAAAGATTAGAGACATCATCGCAAGAAATTAAGTGATTTTTTAATCAGGGGAATATTATACGCGTTGTACTCTTTTTTCCTTGACCGAGGATTTCTTCCCACTGGGTTTTCCTAGCAAGGTTTTTAATGAGGCAACAAATAGTGAATATCAAAAGATATGTGTATTCTTTTTCATTCACTAGAATTTTTTCGCACAGGGTTTTTCCTAGTAAGGTTTTAACGAGACATATTATCTATGGACATCCAAGAGGGAGTGTTATAAATCCATTGAATTGTGTGGATTGTCCTTTAGATATACTCAAGACTTAATTATATTCATGTATACTTGTTTCCAAAGGTGATAAGAACCATTTGGATAACTATGTATCTACTAATTAAGCATTTATCATGGTGACCTTTAGGATGATATCTCAACTGTATAAATAAAGATATCATTCACCTTTTGTATACACACTTGAAAAAGAAGAAAAGTTCTTTCTTCCATGTTACTTCTCTTGTCTTCTTCTCTTTCTATTGTATTATGAGCTCTTTAGAAGTCCATTATAGATGACATGCAGTAATTAACGTCCAAAGGACGTGCTGCTTGAGGCCATGCAGTTTTTCATAGGAGTATTTGATTGATGTGACATTTTTTAAATCATCGACAGTGTTAAATAGTCTTCGTAAATTATCAAATTGTAATTGATTTTACAAATTTTAAAGGTTAAGAATTTTAATATAATTCCTATAAAAGAGTATGTAGGAAGTAAAATTTTAGTCAATTATAAAATAGTAATATTAAAAATTCTTTTATTTTACAAATAAGTAAAAATAACTAATGGCTATCATTTTAATTACTTTTTAAAACTTGAATATTAGAATAATAATCAAATCATAATTTTTTCTTTAAAAAATAATACATGACAATTTTTTTGGATTTGAAAATTAATTATAGTTATAATTATTAAATGATTACTTATTTGTAAAGTAGGAGAATTTTTATTCGAACGTGCAATATAAATTAAAATCTAGAAAATAGTGTGGTGTATATACGAAATACAAATAATTATTTTTCTAATAAATAATGGATAAACGGATATGAACAATGACAAACATTTTCAACAACAGCATAGAAGTCTTGTCGTTTAGTTATGGGAAAAAACCCATAGAAGTCTAATTGGATAGGGAGTAGGACTTATAAGTCAATGCCCATAACAATACAATATTAATGTCGATTTTCCTAGAAACTTTTGGAATAATCTTACGACGTTCTAAAATTACCAACTAAAATTCCTATACAAGGTAGACTTCATTTTAGACAAATTTACCAAAATGGAGATAAGTTTATTATAGAGAGTAAATCATATATGGTTCTAAAAAAACATAAACCACGTTACTTGCCATGTAAACCACGTTTTACCGAAAATTATGCGCACACATTTATTTGTTGAGGACATGTTTGCCTCTAAAACAATACTGCTAGATTCTGGCAGAGAAAACAAGGGAGCACGGATATGAACCATGACACATATTGTGAACCACAATCAAAATGTTTCTTCTTCTCCTCTCAACACAACAACAACAACAAGTACAAGGGTTGCTCATCGGGGCGGTGGCGGTGGAAGCGGAGGAAATGGATCGCAAGCTTGTGCGGCCTGTAAATATCAAAGGAGAAGGTGTGCGCCGGACTGTTTGTTAGCCCCTTATTTTCCTGTCGAACGAAACAAGGAATTTTTGAATGTTCATAAGCTTTTCGGTGTTAGTAACCTATTGAAGTTATTGAAAAATGTTCAGCCGTTTCAGAGAGACACCACGATGAAATCGCTAATATTTGAAGCTAACATTCGGGCTGGTGATCTTGTCGGAGGATGTTACAGAATAATTATGAATTTAGAACGGCTAATTAATTTTTATGAGACGGAATTGCAATTTACTTACAATGAGATTTTCCGGGTACAAGCTGTTGATATACAAAATAATATCAATCGGACGACTGTCAATACGAATACTACTGATGTTCAAGTAATGAATAGTATCGGAGGATTCCATCGATCGGAAGAAATTGACGGATTTGGTGACTATAGTATGAGTGGATTTGGTGATTCATCTAAAAGAATTAATAGTATTAGCTCATTAAATAGTCAAATAATTAAAATAGAGCTACTCGACGATATCAAAGACGAATTTGCAGTGAGACAAGGTGAATTTGAAACTAAAGTAGCAATTTCAAGCTCGAAAGACAAACAATCTATGGTTGAAAATGGGGATTTGAAGCCATATTTTGGAAAGAATTGTAAAGGCAAAGCTTTAGCAAGGTATGTTAATTAATTATGTTTTTCCTTTATAGATTATTTTTAGTTTTATTCTTAATTTTTGAAACACATTAAGTTTCTTATGAATAATTAGCATATAGAATAACTATTAAATTATTTCTAATAGAAAGGTGCATGATTATGAATGGAGCTAAGGGACTAAGAAAAAAAATCAAAACAAAGTTAAAAGGCGTGATCCAATTAAAGAAAATTATGTCTTTTCATCTCAATATAAGCTATTAGGAGTGAATTGAGAATATAGTACTGAATTTTGCAGTTAAAAGAGTTTTTGTTGGACCAACCAGAAGCATATAGGGGAATGATTTATGAATGGAGCTAAGGGATTGTCAATGATACCAATGTAGAAGAGGACAACTAATATCCCTCCATAATGCTGCTAAGAGCATTCTCTAAGTCCTAAAAACTAGATTTGTTAGATGGTTATACGACATTCATAAAGTTTGTGCTGCTCATCATAAATTTATTTTAATTCAAACATAGTAATAATAAAACCATAGAGTAAAACGATGCTAAATCCATGATAAAAAAAACCCTTGGTTTTTCCTTATAAATAACAACTGTTATTTTCTCAAGGGAAAGTGAGTGACAATGAAAGGGTATTAGGAGTGGATTTTATGGCTTAAATGTGTGGGTATTATAATTAAATTAGGAGAAATTCTAATTAGAATGTATCTATGTAGGTGTGCTACATAAAATGATAAATGATGATACAAGAGGGAACATAAGTTGAATAAAAGATACAGACATATCAAAGAAGTGTGACAAAAGATAATTATAATCGTTGGGGTGTTTGAATTCGTGAAGGCAATCACTCGGACGTTTCCCTAACCCAACATTTCATAAGTGTACGAGGATAAATATGACTTTTTTTTGACTTTATAAGAATAAAAGTTGTCGTCTACTTTTGGACCCCATCTGTTTAACTCAAAAAGTAGGATTATTTATCACACACTTTTGTGACATGTAGTATTAAAATGTCGTAAATGTAACTACAACAAACACACACAAAAAAAAAATGTCCAAGTTTGTACAAACAGTGGAATGAAACGCTACTACAAGAATTAGAATGGTTTCTCATCCTAAATTTTGAACTGTGTCTTTGATTATATTTTAGCAGGACGATATATAGAGTTTAATGGAAATTTAGGATACTGCATCTCTTTAGCAGACATTTAGTTACTTTGTTACAGGAGAAAAATATACTTATATAATGTGTTATTGACAATTGTAACGAAATTTTGACTTTGCACTGATGGAATTTGTTCATATTTTGGCCATTTGCAGCGATGATGACAAGGTTGTATCGAACACACGAGTTAATTGAGCGTAGACGGTCTTTCTATCTTCACAAACACGTGTATAACCTATCTTCTTGGTTGTTATACTCTTATGCAGGTAGAGAAAGGATTATTTTTATTTATGTTTAGATGATAGAGGTAATTTGGACTTGGAAAGTAGAAAAGAGAACAAGTGCTATTACTTACAATAATTCTCCTTCATACGAGCAAGCATTTTGGAAATTACAAAGAGACAAGTGCATAAAGTCAAGTGGCAGACACGCATTAGCTAAAATAAAGGAAGACAACTTCTGCAGATATTTTGAAGTTCCGCCATATATGGTTTGTTTCAAAGATAGACAAAGCAATGGCTTACAACCAATTCACCTACTCTGGGACATTTCAATAGTACTATTTCTTGTCTATCCTCGAATTACTGGCTGCATTGCCACTATCTTGTAATAATGCATATTATCCTTGTTTATTAAAAAAAAAGAGGATAGCTGGTTAAGTATTCATAACTAGTTGCGTTAGGAACAACATCACTAATAGCTTGGGTTTATCATAATAATTCTGACATTCTAGGCAATTGGATTTCTACTTTCTTTATTTGTTGATGTTTTCCTCTTCCCCCTCCATTTGATCATTCAATCCTCTCCCTTCTTTTCTTGCATGGAATCTCTCTGAGTATTGGGATTGTTTCATGTACTTCATTCATCTGAGGGTCATTATATTCTTCCTTGTTCTTTTTAAATTTTGTTGGTTGAAAATATTTGAGGAAATTTCATATATAGCCACTCAAAAGCAGCCTAATTACTTTCCATAGTTATAGTTTGATAATTACAATTCATAGCTACATTTTATGGGGAGGAGAGAGGCGAGAGAGAGAGAGTGCAAAGAGAGGCGAGAGAGGGCAAAGAGTGGGAGAGAGGTGAGTCGTATATGTATATTGGTTAGATAATTGTATATTATACATATATATTTGTATATATATCTAGTGAGAATTGGAGAGGGAGGAGAACAACTAGCGAGATTGGGAGAGAGGCGACCAAGAGAGTGGGAGAGAGGTGAGTTGTATATGTATATCGGTTAGATAATTGTATATTATACATATGTATTTGTATATATGTCTAGTGAGAATTGGCGAGGGAGGAGAGAGGCGAGCGAGATTGGAGAGAGAAGATCAAGAGAGTGGGAGAGAGGTGAATTGAATATATATATCGGTTAGATAATTGTATATTATACATATGTATTTGTATATATGTCTAGTGAGAATTGGAGAGGGAGGAGAGAGGCGAGCGAGATTGGGAGAGGGAGGAGAGCAGCGAGCGAGATTGGGAAAGAGGCGAGCAAGAGAGGGAAGAGAGTGGGAGAGGTGAATTGTATATGTATATCGGTTGGATAATTGTATATTATAGATATGCATTTTGTATATATAGCAAGCTAGATTAGGAGAGGAATGATAGAGGAGAGCGAGACTCGGAGAGGGAAGAGAGAGGCAAGCGAGAGAGGGCAAAGAGTGGGAGAGAGGTGAATTGTATAAGTATTATATCGATTAGATAATTGTATATTATAAAATGTATTTGTATATTCTGACGAATTATACATATACAAATGTGGCTATTTATACAAACTTGAGTCAGCTCACACAATTAATGTATAATGTTAGTTATGAGTGATAATAATAGCAAATTATAGCTATGATGAATAATTAAATAGTATAAATTTACTTAACGACATAATTTTCCCAAAATATTTCCGCATCCATATCTTGTGATAATAGCAAAACAAGTCAATCTAACATTTTTCCTATTGTGATGGTGTGATAATAGGATAGTTCTCAATTCTTTCCATTCGTATGAGGTCAGTAATATCCATCTTCGACCTCGACTTCGTAGTTGATATCATTAGAATGGATAAAGATCCGGTCAAGTATAATTAGGTTAATTAATGTTCAATGACCTTATAGATTCATGTCATGTGTACTATATAATAATTTATGGTTGAGATTCATTAAAATTATATACTCATTAATTATAATAATAAAAACAACAAACTTGTCAACTTTTTTATTTTTTAAAACTATCAAATAAAGCAATTTTATGTACCAAAGCTAATATTTTCAAGAAAAAAATATAAAATTGATGGGAATATGTAAACTTTCTGATTTTTTACCCGACAAACTTGTTCAGAAGTAATTTCACTCATGCTTTCTCCAAATTCTGAAGTAATCTTCAAGAATAGATCAAACTTATAAACATAATTGAGTTCTAAATAATAATGTAACTAAATAACTTGATAATACATTTTGTAAAAAAAAAATACTTAATTGAAGGTTTTCAAATAATTACAAATATATATTTATTCAGATTTTTTTAAAATGTCAGATTCTTCAAAATTAGTATAATATAAAAAGTCCAATACAAGTACGAGGTTAAAAAAGTCGGGAAGTCCACATACTTTCATCAGTCTTATTTTTTCTAGAAAATATTAGCTAGGGTACATTTAATTGTTTTATTTGATAGTATTAAAAAATGAAAATAATTGACGTTTTTGTTGTTTTTACTATTAAGATGAATATATAATTTAAATCAATCTCAACCATAAATTATTATACTGTACACATGACATGAATCTACAAGGCTATTAAACATTATTTGACATAATTATGCTTGACCGGATCTTTGTCCCATTAATTAGAACATATGTATTTTGTATGGCATTGTTCTAACATTATTTGTGGCTCCAATAATTTGACATATATAGTTTGTGGTTAATAATTTATGCTAATAACAAGTTTCACGTTAATAATTAAGCTCATCGTATGTCGAAAACAAATTATATATTTTTTTGTTTTCAAAATAAACGAAAATCGTGCAATAAACAAATTAAATAGACATCATTCAAATGTACAACAATGACCATACCTTGGTATCAGTGATCCAATTTGACTAAATATAATTTGTGTTGAATAATCTACTAAAAAGTAAAAACGAGTTGAATGAGTCTACTAAAAAGGTTAACCGCCTCTTGAAGACTTTTTGGAACTTAATGCCTGTAAACATTTTTTTAAAAATAAAATAATTGTAAGTGTAATATAAAAAAGTGGATTAATATTTTCTTGATTTTGTAAGATAATCAATTAATACAAGATAACTAGTTTAAATATATTGATTAAATATGATATAAATTGAGTACAGATATTTATTTTTAGTAACGTAAACAAATACACGCCGACATAAATCAAAGAGGAGCTCTTATTTGTACTACTCTGTTCTTTCAACAATAGTTGTCCATTATATAATTTTGGGATCTTCAATATTTTTTATCTACTTTATGAAATTGGTGAATTAATTTTGTAAAAATTAGGCAAATCACATAGTATAAGAGAGAAATTATTTTTTATCCCTGCTCTTTCATTAATTACTAAGAATTCCTTTTCTTTTAGTGTTTTTTGGATACATAATATTGTAAGCGGATACTTTAATTAATAACGGTTGATACTTAAATTATTAAGTTGTTATCAGTTTAAGCATTAAAAAAGGGATTAAAAATAGAAAGTAATTGATTTCCACAAATTACGCATACGTTTCTTCCTTCAACCAATCAGGCATAAACCTCTAACTGAATTATAATTTTTAAATTTCAAAATGTGAAATCTTCTTCCTGTTCTTCGAAAAAAACATTCATAGTTTGATTCAAACAATTTTGAAACGCAATTTTGTGAAGATTCGAAATGAATATTTTAATCTTGTTAAGGCATTTTGGATCATGGGAAAGTGATGTTAGATACGAGCGATACAGAAGCGATGTGATATGGTTGGAGAAAATATTTCATTCGCAAATCTTATTTCAACAATTGCAGCTGAATTGGATATTGATGAATTGAAAAATTAACATCGAGATCAGCTACATTGTTGAAGGTAATTTGTCTCCATTATGTATTCTAAATGATATGGGGGTGAAATTGTACATAGAAATGAAGAAACATGAGGTAGGATTCGGTATGTATTCACTATGCATTGATACATCGGATAAAAGTGATGAAGAGATGTTTTATCGAAAAAAATTAATTTCGAAAAGAGTTCGTTTTATTTTAAAGGTATTTTCGACTATTTAGGAGTCGCCACTTAATTTTGAGAAAATTAAGAAAACTTATTTTCCAAACAACTTAAAACAAGAAAATTGTTTTGAAAATATTTTAAGGGTTCGGGTTTCTATTAGTGTCTTAGGAAGGTGTTGAAGGCACCTAAGACACTCTGTTAAATACGGTTTTCAGGCGATTAACTACTTGACTATTTTTATTTTAACTTTTTGCAAACTTGAAGTTGAACTTATCAAAGTTTTATCTAGACAAAAAAATTTTACGAATTTTTGCGATATATGGTTTTAAGATTCCATTAACGTTAAGCCTTTTAAACTTTAACTCTAAGCAACTATCTAATTTAAACATCTATCGTTTTAAAGTTTCAATTTTACGTTTTAAGTTTGATAAAGCAAGAGGCGTTCGATGGGGGTTTGGAGTTTTCTAATCCTAGGCTAACGACATTTAAGCAACGGATGTAAACAAGTAATAAAGAAAGAGAGAGGGAGAGAGAGATTTTGGGTCCAAATTCGGATTCTGTTCGCCTTGATCGAATTCAAGACCCACCTGTTTTTGGGGTTTTTACCCATTTTTTCTTTCGTACCTATCCTAGTCTAAGCATACAAAAATAAATGCGGTAAAACAAAACAACAAGGGCTTATGCCCATTACAAAGTAAAATACAAAATAAAATAAAGGCAAGTCTTCTAGTTCGTGTTCTTTAAACTTCTTCAATCTTCACGGCATTTCGAATCTGACATGTCTGCCTTGATAATTAGACTCGATGGAAATCTTCTGAGCCTTTACGGCTCCTCGGAAAGGCAAGGAAGAGAATAGAGTCCCGAGACGGACTCGAGAGGAGTTTTTATATGCAACAAAGTAGAAATGGGTTAACATATTAAATAATATAATAATAAACTAGATATACCTTGAACAAAAGTAGATTTCAAAAAAAACGAAAAAAAAACTACTTAAGGGATTTGAATGAGGCTAAAATACATGACTCTAAGGAAGACCAAGTGAATAGCACTACCCAAAATCTTTTTTTTTTAAAAATATATATATATATTCAAAAAAAACTCTAGACAGTAGCATATATTGTACGTGTATGCACACACATACCATATTCAGGAAACACATAAATAATTCAATTCAAATGTATAAAGAGAGAACATGCCGTATTTTTATTCCAATAAAACACCTCATGCCAATATCAAGAACAAATCACTTTAACGAACTCTCGACACACTTATCTTTTCCATATTATAATAGGCTCTGAAATCTTCAACCTTCCAGGCAACTACCAACATTTAAACTTTCAAATCAACATATGAAGAAGCCTTTGAAACAAAAAAAAAATACAAATACCAAAAGACAGCCAATAGTTCATAGGAAGTAAGGACGGGACCAGCAAAACACATGCTATACATAGATTTCACTTATCCAAATCGGACAGAAATAAGCACTATACGATTAGCGAAACACAGCGACGATCAAGACTAAAACAACATGCTTATCTCTAACCCACCGTGGCATACATAAACCCGAAATAGACATACGAGGTG